GCAAGTTCCAATGAATATCTGGCGTGGTCTTGGTTGTATCAAAAGATCTTATAATATCACTCCACCTTTTACAAGAACGGACATGCTTATTACATTACAATATTTGAATACGTGTAATAACTTTGAAAATAACTGAAGAATTTTTACGATATTTTGTACGTGATTCAACAGCAAAACAATCCAATTATTTCCTGTGCTCAAGAAAATCAACATGGAGGCTGGGCGTAAGACATCAGTACGAACATCTTAACAAATTTAAATGTGGAGAAAGTGTTGTTGGTGATGGCTGCCTTCTGGGTTGTAGTGCCGTGTAGTCTGGTAGAAGTTTACCAGCGTTTCAGAGGTCGTTGCTGCCTCCATCATCAGGGCGATCAATGTACAGAAGACAGCCATCTTCGGACTCACTGCCTTGAGAACCTCAAATACTACAAGTAATGTTGGTTCAAAATTTGTTACACATATTAAGTCCGAAGTTACTAAAAAAATTATGTGATGAACTTCTGGATCCTATAAATGATGGGTAATTTGTTGACGAGAAGAGATAGGCTCTGCTCCAGAGAAATACTGAGTTATCACTGATAAACGCTTTTCGATCGTCTAATATTTAGTGGATTGGGAGGGGGGGGGCTAGATGAAGTAATTCTATGTTTTTATGAAGAATTAAACTACGCACGTGTCTGGACTCAGATCACGAGTATTTATGTTCCTGCCTACCTTAAAACTAAGTGGTCTTACGGGGTTGGCATCCTGCCCATATTCAGTTTAGACGCAGTCTAACTGGATTTAACACGCGCTAAGCCAATCAATGTTGGATTACGTTCCGGTGGAGTGAGAATGGCCTATCAGCTGCTGCGTGATGACAGACTTCTTATCCTCGTCCTGATAACGGCTCAGTGGGTATTTACATCGAATTTAAAAGCTTAAAGCTGACCTGTAAAGCAGAAATGGACGGGTGGTATGAGGTCAAATACGCGCTGATACTGCGGCTTTAAGACTTAAAAACCGAGTGGTAACTATTTGTACCACCTTCTTTAACTATCAGTGCATTTTGTATCCATCGGTTTCGTATGATTCTTAATGTAAACCGAGATAATTTCCTTAAACAGCGTTAACGGGTTAATCTTTGTAATGGTGAAGTGTAGTGTTTTCTTCGCGGTACGGAATGAATTCTTATAAACGAGTTTCCGTTTCAGGGGCGAAAAGCTCCCTCTGTCCAATACTGTGTCTGTTGTGATGGTGAGTGTGTTACTTTACTAAAATACAGACTGTCCCAAAAAACATGCATACAGATATTCAACGAATGAAGTATGAAACCAGAATTGGCGCTTACTGAAATAGGTAAGTTAGTGTAGACGCTCAAAATGACCACCGTCAGCTTCTGACCGACAAGCAGCCACGAAAGATGCTACTTGGACGGTTGCGCGAGACAAATTTCTTGCCGGAACGTTGGCTTTCTGCTGTCCACTTCAATCACAATCTCGAATTTCCAGTGCCACTTGAAAATTAATTTGCTCTGTACGAAACCCAATCGACCCTCCGTCATTCAGCGCATCTGAATCACGGAAAAAGGTATTTCGGCGCCATGTGTTGAGTGTAGCCCACACAACACACGGAAAATCATAACAGGGTTAATCCTGTTATGATGTGGATACATATTTTGGGACATTCTATGCTGTTGCGAAGAGATGAAAAATATAATGAAATCACCGACGTGTGATGGACGGAATGTGTAGCACAAATTGGGGAAACGTAAACTTTATAGGCCTTATAAAACCGCATGAACAAAACCTGCAGGTAAGATATTTAGCAGACTGGAAGATAATATTAAAATGGATCTTAAGGAAACAGTCTATGACATGAACTGAATTAAATGACTAGGGATCGGTTTGCAGTGGCGCGTTTTTGTGAGCACGGCAATAAACCTTCGGGTTCCGTTCAGATGAGCAACTATCAGCATAACAAGAACGTCCCTGGTTATTCTGGAGCTAGGAAGTTAGTTTATGAAGAGGAACGGTGGGAAGGGTTCGATATCCCAGATGGGAGCCCACTTGGGAAATTAATGTTCTTGGGAGTCAGCGTGACGTTGATTGATTCAAACGTTACTTGACGCGAATGCTACAGCCGCTCGAACACTGTTGCCCGCGGGTTCGAATCTCAGTCCACGTTCTACTGCAGTGTGCGGTCCTTTGTAAATAACTTTCTTGAAATGTGCCGACCTCAGTCTAAAGAGTTCTAACAAAGGTTACAAGTATTCAGAAGTTTCCCTTTGGAGCCGAAGGTTATATAAATACTATTTAAGAATTCAGCCCGTACCGCGAAGAAAACACAACTCTCCACCATTACAAAGATCAGCTGGTTAACGCTGTTTTAGGACATAATCGCTGTTGGCACTGAGAATCGTGCGAAACAAAAATACATTCTCTGGATAAAATATAAGATTACTGATTTAACAATTAACAAGGCTGTGAATATATTTACCACGGTGCTTTAGAGTTCTAACCGCTGGACCACCTCATCTTATTATTATTTAGTGTTCTGTCTGACGACAGGTCCATATGAACAGGATCCTTCCATCCTTTTCTCGGACTGGGACCTGTTCATATACGTTCTTGGTAGATGATCCAGAAGTGGTTTGCCATTGCCTTCTTCTGTGTGTGAATGGAGTAATTGTTGGGATGCCACGGAGGAAAACTCCGTGTTGCCTAGACCACGGCCTTGCCCAACACAAGTTATAAATTCGGGCACCGCCGGGAATCGAACCCGAGACCCCAGGATTACAAGGTCACCGTTCTAACCAGAACAGACTAGAGAACAGAAATTCGTGAAAACTGAAGGTGATCTAGCAGTCATAATCATAAAAGGTGTGTAGGAAAGGACATGGAAGGAGGCGTTCATGGCCCATTTAAATGTAGCATCCGAAGTCTTGGGGGACTGAGAAAAACCTGAGATACTATAACGAGTAACAGTGATGAAATAAATAAATAAACATTGGAGATAAACATAGATGTAAATATAATAATAATAAAATTAATCCTAGAGTAATTGAGTGTGTGAAAATATTTACCTGGTTTAAGGCAAGATACAATGTCGGGTTCTTGAGCGCAAGGTAATAACCTATTTGGGTTATATAAAACCAGGGCATTCCTTACGGAAGCAATTACAACGGATTTGGTCATACTCGTAATTGCTACTGTTGCCTGTAGTTGTGTCTTGTCTGACGAATGTGTTATTTAATGCCACTGTATCAACTGACATTTTAATTAGCTCTGACTGCAGCAATAACGACTTCATGAGCTAAGGACGACTGATCTGACAACAAAACACTAATGGAGACAGTGACCAATGACAGGCGACAGATATAAATTGGAAGTTCGCGGGCTAGCCTATTATTCTTGACTCATATAAAGACAATACTGTAATTTGCCTGATGCAATTAAGAGAAACCATTAATTCTACAATAAAAAGAATTTCACTCCAACTGTCAGATTTGTTTCTTAATAATAAGGAGTGGATAACATTAAATGTAATTAGAAATCTACTTGCCATTTAAAAAGATTAATTCGTTCATAACCTCTCAGTATGATTAATAAAAAAATCTTTATGATTTTGTATGTTTTAAAACTCTCACCGGGCGTATAAACGCATCGTAACAAGATAAACATATGCCTTCGAAACGTCGGTCCCTGATTCTGATCTGATTCAGATGATATCCCAAGAAGTCTTCGAAACGTCGGCCCCTGATTCAGATCTGATTCAGATGATATCCCAAGAAGATTTTACGATTATGGAGATGTTTGTGTGACGACGCTGTATTCGCTGTAGGTTTTCCAGTATTATCTTCAGCACCGGCTAAGGTATATCTGACATAAACGACGTTTTGGGATTTAACGCTTCTCCCGAAATCGTCGTGTATATAAAGCACACTTCAGACAATGAGAAATCTTCAGTATACGTAATAAACAAGCCTTGGTTGGTTGGTGTCATTTGCTCTTAGTGTATTTTGGGACTTATGAATGTGTGTGTGTGTGTTGTTATAAGTTGCCATGGTAACGCTGTTAAGGTATACGGGTCTCATGGGATAATAATTATGACTATGTGATCGTTTATCTATGGCCTCTAAGGTATGTGTACTTTTATACAACTTCGATGTAAGGTCATGTTTGATTGAATCGTATTACATTCGAAAACAAACAAAGATAAATTATGACATTATTTTTTTTTGTTACACAGCATTATTAATTTTAAATTCTATACCCTTATTTGTTGAAACAATGGACTGAAGAAAAAGATTGTCCGCTCATCCATGGTCTGCTATTTTCTTCATGTAGGTTATTTCTGAACAAAGCAGCAAAACAGATACGCATTTCCGTGCCATAGGTTCGCAGTTTTCGATATCAAGCAAAGACCCGAATTTATAACTTGTGTTGGGCAAGGCCGTGGTCTAGGCAACACGGAGTTTTCCTCCGTGGCATCCCAACAATTACTCCATTCACACACAGAAGAAGGCAATGGCAAACCACTTCTGGATCATCTGCCAAGAACGTATATGAACAGGTCCCAGTCCGCGAAAAGGATGGAAGGATCCTGTTCATATGGACCTGTCGTCAGACAGAACACTAAATAAAAATAATAATAAAAACATAATAATGGTCGGTCTATAAAGATCTTTTATACACACCACAGTCTCCATTAGGTCATATTCCATGTGGCGGACAAATGCTAGTTTTTTTCCGGACCTCAGCACAGGATATAAATTTGTGGACATG